CCTGCCTTCCTTACAAGACTAGTCCTGTAAAGTGGAAAAAAACAAAAGGAGATTTCTTCCAACAATCGGTTCTCTGAACTGCTTAGAAAGTTACCAACTGGTTCTCCCAAATAGGTGTGAACTGGCTGAATCCCACCACTGGTGGAGCCTCCCACCAACACCACTACTGGTTTGCTTGATCCGGGCTGAACCGGTAGCAACCCACCTCTGGTCAGGATCATGATTCATGGCATGGGCTGAGGTCTGTCACATGACAGCCAGTAATGACAGCCAATAAGTCTGTCACATGACAGTCAGTAAGGATCGGAATTATATGTCCAGGCATGTCTGGGAATCAACTGCATGTAGTTTCCAGTTGTGAATCAAACTCTGTTTTCTATTGGGAGACATATTGTGATTTAAATGATCATGAGTTCCTGAACTATGATCACTGCGTGTCTCCTTGGAAGCTTCTTATGGAGAAATATTGATATATTGTGGATGGTGATTTACCGCCTTCAGGCTGCCCTTCCCATCTTCTGCTATTTTGTCTGGCAGGAAAAACAGGTGCCTGGTTTCCACTGAGGCATATTCTTGTCACGCCTGCCATGTTTGTTATTGTATGTTAAATGGGATCCTTGCAAACCCAGTTTTGGCTCTTTTCAAAGAGGGGGGAAATCAGTAATTATAGAAACAGGACTAGGCCTCTCCTGATGAAGCTGTCATGGAAGCGTGTGTGCTTATGATACGTGTGTCTCTTGCCTGGCCCCTGGGAGATGGAGGTGCTGCCTTTCAAGATTCTTCCTGGGGCTTTACTGTTGAAGGTCTCAAGGAAGGAAGAAGGATGCATTGAAAAGGGAGAAACAGTTCTTTCTGCTTCAATGCAGTGTGCAACACCCAGTTTGACAACAGATTGAACAAGTTACCGGCATAGAGTATACAGTTGCTCTATCCCAGCGATGGCGAACCTTTCCGGCACCAAGTGGAAACTGGAACGTCTGTGTGTGTGTGTGTGTGTGCATGTGTGTGCGTGTGTGTGCCGGAGCACCAGAAACCCAAAGACCAGCTGGCCGGTATGCATGTCAGAGCGCCGGAAACCAGAAGACCAGCTGATGATGGTCACGTGCCCACAGAAAAGGCTCTGCGTGCCATATGTTCGCCATCATGGCTCTATCCTAATCTTAAGCCCATTTGAGGAGAGACCATGCACGACTGGCCGTGCTCCACGGCAGGAGGAGGCATGGCACAATGGAGCAACTGCTGCTTGTTTGGTGGGGGGGGGGTGCTGGCTATAATGGGCAGCTTTTTTTTTCTCACAGTGATTCTGCCGCTTGCCCCACCCACTACCAGCCAGATGCCCTCGCTTCCCTCAAGTATTGCTTTGCCAACTTAATTTCCAGCTCCGTCGTGTTTTTTGCTATCATGTGCAGGAAAATAAGTTTTCGTGACTAAAAAAAAATTCTATCGATTCCAACTTTGTAAGATTTTTTTCTTTTGCAAGAGGTTGAAATTGATTGATTGCATTTTATTTTTAGTCCCACAAAGTTTTGTTTCTCTGCACATGATGGCGAGAAATGTGATGGAGCTGGAAATCAGGTAGGTGAATAAATGCTTGGGGGAAGCGAGGGTATCTGACCGTTGCCAGCAAACCTTTCTGCCCACAAAAAACTCATCTTTGACCGCTGACATCAAAAGGCGGAGCAAGAGCTGCCGGAAAGAAGCCAGTAGACCTGGGAATCTGAAATACCTTTCCTCCTCCCCCCGACCAACCTTTCCCCCAACTGTCACATTCCCCAAATTACAGCGAAAGCGAGGGGCAGGAAGCCCTGCCATGCTTGGTGGGGGAGAGAGAAGAGGAGCTCCATCTCATTCCATGACCCCCAATGAAAGGCAGTGTCAGCCACACGCCCTGTCACCATGCAGAGATCATGTAGGCAGAGGCAAAGGCAGGCAAGCAGGCCGGGCTGTGTGAGAGGCAGCTAAGGGAGGAAGACTCAGTAGGCAAGGATCACCTGGGCTGTGGGGGGACGTGGTTGAGGCAAGTGAGGGAACCAGAGAGTAGCAGCAGCTATGCCACAGGCAGGACTGTAGAAATCGGTCAATGTGGGCGGGTTGAGATAAGGAGGAGGGGCAGGGTAGGGCCAGCCAACAATTTAACAACCCGTTCGGCCAAAGTGGTGCGAATTGGTGGAATCATATCTCTATGTATATTTATGTGTGTGGTGTATGTGTATGTGTATGTGTATGTGTATGTTTTTATTCCTTTTAAAAAGAATCCCCAAAGCTTATTTCTTTTTATTTTCTCTCAGGAACTCCCTTGTGAGTATAGCACTTCTTTTTTATAAGTCCAAGATAAATAAATTGTCCACGTCACTCCCCTGATTCATTATTTGTCTGTTGCTTTTAGTGATTAAGTCATCAACTGGCTTCACTTATAAATACATTCTCCATTTCATTCTTCTATTTTGTCATTTTAAAATCCATATCCCAAACAGTCTCATTCTCATTTGTATCCTCTTCTCTTTTAAATTCATTTTATTGCAGCATACAATCTTAAAATAAATTTCTGAGTGCATTGTTAGCAACATCCTTGTTTTCTTTGAAAGTCAATATACTTTTCTCCCTCCTATATTAGTAGAGCTCCTTTCCTTTAATTATAATATTTAGTTATTTCTAGTTGCCTTTAGTGTTCAACCATTAAATTCTCCTTTTATCATGGGTTTAATCCGCAACACTTTCCCACAAGATTTCTTACACTTAAGATTGAAAATCTCCATGTGTTAAAAGGATTTAAGAAACTCACAAGGATTGTTCTAATTTCAAAATCTTATTTCTTAATCTTATTTCTAATTCATCTGACCCTAATTTATAATTATAATTATTTTATAGTTTTCCAAAAGCATATTTCTAATCACCA